TTCGCAGGTCGCCTACTCTGTTTTGATCAAAACGGAATTGATTCGAATAAATGGCAACTGAAGTAATTTTCGTTTCCCGTAAAAATACAAATACTGTACAGCGTTTCTTAATTGAAAAACTTAAATAATCACAAGATATTAAAATAAGTAAATTACACTTTTTTCATTGTAAACTGGTATTAGAAATAATCTTCAAGCCAGCTACAAAGTGTGAAAATCAAAATGCATATATATTACTTTACCGTCAAATAGTAACACTCTTATGCATGTGAAAGTAATAATCAAATTAAATTGCGCACAATTTCCTAAAACGTACTATAGAAGATAAAATTATGTACCAAATGAATTCAAATGTACACAAACCACGCACATGTAACACATATAAAAAAACGTCTCAATATATTTTGTATAGTGTATCTTCACAGTTTTCAACATTCCAAATGTATAATCAGCCTAAACGATACCATTTGTTAGAGAAAAAAACATAGTACACGTTGACGCGAAAAAGTTAATACCCCAATATTGTAGTAGTACGTTATATAATAGCCTCGGTTTGCATGTGCCAAAAACGGTGGCATCTTAGCACACTTAAATGTTCTTGAATTTTCTTGAACACTGTATTAAGAACAACCCCTGCCAAATATAACTGATTGTGACACCTTCTGTTTCTACATTTTGTGAAATTGAATAGCTGCATTTTAATAATTTACGTAGATTGAAAAGGCTCGATACATTATATTATATCGAAATCACATGTGTGGAATTTCTAACACCTGTCTGTGTTATTGATTGTGCCTTCAAACACATTGTCATTTGCTTTAAAATGTAAAGCCCTACTGTATTACGTATTCACATCTAATAATGCTTTGTATTAGGTATTAACATTTACATCCTATTCAATGGATTATTTGTTATTATGTAAATACAAATTCACAATTCCGAACCGGTTTTAACTAGCTACAGGTACCTTTGTTGTCGTGTGAAATAGTAGTAGCCAACATGAGTTTATCTTAGCAGAATATTGGTGTTATGAAGTTCGCCTTAGTGCACACATATGTTACTACACCTATTATAAATGTGCACGCGATTGTCACGTTTTACAGACTAGTTAGTGCATTCCGTTCTGCACTCGAAAAACTGATTATTAGACATTTGCGCATTCTGTTATTGGGAGTAAGTGTTCACAATATCCATCTGCTAAAACTATAGTTACAGTAATATAAAGCCATGCATGGTACATTTCCCCTTAGTTTTGTTTATAGTAATATAGCTGGAATATAACCATGTCAGGAATATGATTATGATGATTAAAATAATTGGCATTTGTATCTGATCGTCAAACGAGTACCTGTCCATATTGAGAAACAAAATCAGATATTTTGAATACATGTATATATCTATAACATGGTATATAATGAATATATAAAATTTGAACGTAATCAGACAAAACATGTCAGAAATATGGCTCTAGCAGCCCATTCATTAAAACAAAATGGCCGCCAGTCAGTCATTTTGAATTCGATCTGAAAAATACAATAAAGTACCTCAGGAACACATAGTGTCCATCATCCATCCATAAATGCCAGAAATACTTGATATTTGATGATTCTTAGCACAGAAATGGCCACCATACGGCCATTTTGAATAAGGTCGTAAAACCAATGTATCTGCATATCTATGACAAGATATATATTGAATATCTAAAATTTGAACATAATTAGTCAAAGCAAGTCAGAGATATAGCGCTAGAACAATATTCATTAAAGAAAAATGACCGCCAGTCGGCCATTTTGAATCTTATCTTAAAAACAAAATGACTAACATCAAGGACCAATAATGTCTAATGTATATACCAAGTTTGAACAAAATCCATCTGTAACAGCTGAGAAATGCTTGATTTTGATAAGTTTTCAGCACAAAAATGGCCGCCATTCGGATTGTGAAACAAATTGATGTGCATATGTATAATCTATGTATGATGTATGAAGTTTGATTGTGATTGGTCCAAGCATGTCTAAGATACATGTCTGGACGAACGCACGGACGCACACATGCACTGACGCACGGACGCACAAGGGTCAAAACAAGTCCCCATTTTTCGGACTGAACAACATAACATAATTACAGAATGATGAAGCCTGTATCATTGCCGTGCTCATGAGATTTGTCTAGTAATTACAGAGACTGTAAAATGTGTTTACTTATTACAGTTGAACGATGGGGGCGTAAACGGAAGAAAGAAAGCGAGCAACTTTTACATACCTGCATACCTTGAACAGAAGGATTGTTCTGCTCTGATGTGAAACATTGGTACATCGGTACAGGGGGCGAATGATGAATAATGGACGAGCATTGAGTAATGACAAACATACGGCTTATTTGTTACACAAACACTGAACGATTGCATATTTGCGTTCAATGCAATCATCTTCAAACACGCAACTGCCCTATAAAATGAACATTTTAGGTAATCATCTCAGATGTTTCTAGATTAGAATCTATTGAGGATCATACAATTTCATATGAGCAGTATAACTATGTTGAAATTGTTTTGTTCTATCAGGAGAAGACTATACGATTCTGCAATGGACAATAAGACTTGTGGACAATGGACAATAATTCCCTGTAGACACTCTTGTTTTCAGTCTTGTTTTTTACGTATGATTATCATTGTTTATAATCCCTAATAAAATGATGGTTGTATCTTTTTCGAATTAAGACCTAAAGAAGTCTTTCCTACAACAACACGCTAGACAATAAAGGCCACGCCTTTGATATTGTGCTTTTAAATGAGCTGATATCACGAGGTGTTCTTTGTTGAACACTTATAGTAAACTATTGTGATTTGTTAGATTACAAGACGAGTGTGCACCGTGCTACAAGAATAAATTACTAAATTATTAAAGATATTAAATTTTCAATGAAATTCGCAATGAAAGCTATCAATATCACAGTTTGTTTACTTGTAATAGTCAGGGCCTTCAGTATTGACTACCTCAGCATATATTAGCTGAATATACACGCTTTACAAACTTAATGAGAACTGACATGAGTTGTCGATCAACGACAAAACATCATTGAGGCAACAACAAATGATGTCATTGACAATGACAACAGCGCCCCCAATGTGTAAATATTGTATACCTTTTGTTTTATTGTGAACACAGTTCCCATTTGTGTGTTTGCAATATGAAAGATGTCTAATAGAAAACGGGTTACACCACATGTTCCTAAGGTATGTCCGATAATTTGGTATTAGCCCCATTAGTAATTCATTGAATCACTTTACATACATATAAGTAAAGTACATACATATGCTCGATATTCTATTTTTTTTAAGAGAAAAAAAGCGGTAATACAGGTAAATGGTCGAGGTGACAACATGGATTTTTGTATTTGATTATTTATTGCACACATATTATTATTTTACATGGTATTCATGGTATAAAATATTCACTTACAAGGTGCAAAACATCACTGCAAGGGATAGAATGTCAGGGACTGACTCTATGGGAGAAAATATTGTAGGCTGCTTTGATTTAAAAAAAAACAATTTGATTGCCTTAGAAATATGCAAGAACCAAAATCATGAACTGATGAAGATTGACGAACCAGACAACCGTGACTGCGGGCGACGACAGTTGGGATAACCCTGTCAAAAGAGAAGGTCAGAGGTATGATGCCTGCAGACTGATACCTAGTAGGTAGGCTATAGTATCAGAAAATATACCATTTAGACTATAGAATAGTAGTGCAGCTGAATATTGTAATCACTACTTACTCAGGCCTCACAAATAAATACGCATAAAGGCAATAAAAAAGTACGAACATTTTGAACATTTTCACCTTTTCTTTGTCTCCTTGAGCCAACATGAAAAAAATAGTTCTGCAATAGTTTGCTCGCCCGACTTCACTATTTCATGGAGGTTTTGAATCCTTTGTTCGTATTTTGGATCGAACTAAACTAATTTACTCATGTTGTGTGTGGTTTGTCGCCACAAAACTTTGTTTTCTAACACGTTGAATAGCTGTGATTTTTTTTATAAATCATTGTAATTAGAAACATTATCAGATACTGATACACGTAATAAAGGTGTGACGTAACACAAGTGATATGCATTTCATAAATTCTATATCAGCCCATATGAGCAATATGGTATCGGACTGCTTTCAGAGTTTGTACAGGTTTGCCACTATTGTTCTTAGAAATGTTTTGAAAGATACGCAAAATGTTGGGTACACAAAAAAACTTTATTTCAATTTTACCAAACGTAAATAATGACAATTTGTAATTGGACTTAACAAGAAGTACAAGATGGAGTTTATTGGAAATAATAATTAGTTTATTAACTTTAGTTTGAATACTTGGCATGACGAGATTGTACTGGAATTTGTTTATTTACATAATGTAATAAACACGTAAATGATAGAATTCGAACTAATTCGTACAGCATTCTTAAATGGTAGGATATTTAAGCATGAAACCATTTTAACATCACTGATAAATATACGTTTCTTAGAAAAACAAACTGAATGGACAACCACGGATGTAAGATGTATCTACAGTCTGTATTTGAAAATTAGTATAATAATCACGTCTGTGCTTGAGCAAACGCTGCAGAAACTTATAGAGTGGAGTAGTAACTGCAACCGTGCACTAATTATCAATAATTATTCGGAATTACACAACCAACACTGATCAATTGTACAGAATATATATGAATCGGATACATATGTACAATGTAAGAAAGTTATCCAAAGTGTACGTAACTTAATACCCTATAAAACATGACACATCAGGCAGGACTCGAATAATAACATGTAGCAATAATTATCTGAATCGATTAAACTCACATCTGACACGGTAGATTACGTTCTATAGTACTGAACGTATTGACTTGCTACAAGTTGGTCTCTCACTAAAAGTTCTGAGAATAGTTCACATAGATATGTCAAAGTATTTTCGAACTGAAAACTTCTACACAGACTGTTTGACACACATTTCTGAGCGCACAGGATAACTGTCTTTGTATAGAGACTTGACAGTGGGACAGCACCAGTGACCATCATGTCTTCTGCTTCTTTATAGAAGAGACCATGGCGAACATTCATATTGCGTTCAATTCCCGGTACAGCTCCTGTAATTTCATTCAATAATTAAAAGTTTTATTTTAATACATATAACAATTTATATGAATAGGGTGTTTCCACGACTGGGCATTTTCGACCGTGGTATTAAATATTACACCATACCTGAAGTGCATGTTAGAGTCTGCTCATTCTTTGTCCACTGAGTGTCATCACAATTGCAGATTCCAGAAACGCACTGCCCATGAATACAAGACGAATCGTTTATACATGCTAAGGGCAAAACATTATATGAATATATCAGTGACATTTCGTAATTATTATTCAACCATGTTTTTCCAAACACTCAAATGACAAACAACACTTTAATCACCAGGTACATGTTATCTTATCTCATCAAAAATAAGTTAACCAATATCAGATTCAACAATTTGTCGACGCACGTGATACAGGTGTTTACATAGATGATATCAATTGTTTGCCATATACCATATATATTGAACTAATTGATCATACGTCTGTTAGTAGAATGGCGGCAGACACATTATACAAGTGCAAAATTATAAACATAAATTGCCTCTTCTGTGCGGTTCTGAAAAAAATATTTACTTTATTATGCGCAGCTTCCCCAGCACAAAATATTCTGATTCCTTTGACAATCAAGCTGTAGGCTTTATAGAAAAAATATGTTTTCAGTCTTTTTCTAAATAAGTTGACATCAGTGACTTGACGCGTGTCAGATGGGAGGGTGTTCCAAAGTTATATGTTTCCAATTTACATTTGGTGCAAATAAGGTTCTTATTAGAGGAACGAAGTGCATGATAATATGTATATAAATGAAAAGGATCACAGAGGTAGTTTGGAACAAGGCTGTTTAAAGATTTACTCATTAACAGAATATTTTGTACTCCATTCTGTGACGAACGGGAAGCCAATGCAGTTTTCGTAGAACTGGGATTATATGCTCTGATTTTTTAGTACCGCTGATGATTCTAGTAGCCGTGTTTTGAAGTGTATTTTCTGGAAGTTCAAATAATTTTCTGGAAGTCCAAAATCAAGTTTGGCAGTGGGTATTACATAAATTAAAGTATGACAAGGGTATTTCCTGATGAAGAGCAAGATACAACTGATTGTCATCTGCATACGGGTGATACTGTAGGTTGTGTTGACGAATGAGATTGTCTAATGGAGATATGCAAATGGTATAAGGTCAAATACCCCAAGTTGTTGTTGCGATTGTTTACTTGTAGTGCCTCCAATGGGAACAGACTGGAATCGATGTTCCACATATGATTTAAACTATTTAGGGGCCATGTCAGTGGTACTAAGACAATCTGTTGAGTAATACATGATGGTCAGTAGTGTCAAATGCAGCTGATAGATCGAGTAAGGTGAGCAAGACATAGATTCCATTGTTTATTTGTGAACACATGTCATTGTCAACTTTCAGGAGGACTGATTCAGTGCTGTGGTACTTCCAGTATGCAGATTGTAGTGGTTGTCAGTAAGAAAATCAGTTAGTTGAGTACCAACAATCCTCTAAGACTTTAGAAGGAAAGGGTAAGTTAGAAACAGCACGGTAGTTATTAAGTGCATTGCGGCAATGAGTTGGCTTCTTCAGTAGAGGCTTGCAGATTGCAGATACAGCACTGTACAATAGTTGATATAATTGGAAGTAGTGAATCGTTACAAGTCTTAAGTAGTTATGTTGGTTGGTTTGGCGAACAAGCTAGATACAGTCCGAAATAACCTTCTCTGATTGACGGCATTTTTCTTTCACAAGACTGGTATAGTAATTTGACTCGGCCTCACGAATTAATTTATTAACATTGCGACAGGAGTCTTTGTAAATTTGATGTTAGATTTGAAGTTTGGTTTCACGCCATCCACTCACTGCAGCCCTACGATAGGTTTATGGGTTGTATACCATTTGGCATCTGGTTATTGTATGTTACAATGGTTCAGTGTAAATTTGAAACTGGTTGATGAAAGCACTGGTTGGAGTCAGGGTCCTTGAAAAATTCAGTTGTAAAAATAGAACATGAACAACTATATACGACTTGGCGTCTACAGTGCGAAGGCTTCTGAAGTTGTACATGTGCAAAAACTGGCATATGATCGGAGAGTTCCAGACTGGCAGGCATCAGAGTTAGTTATATATAAGTCCAAATCTGACTGTAAATATGGGTTGGCTCCTGCAGCCACTGTCGTAGGTTGTATGAGTCAATGATGTTGTCGACAGTTAAAGTCGCCAACAATCAGCAGATGTCCTTTGTATGAAACATATTTCTCAGACAATGTGCCAAACTCGAGTAAAAACACAGTCAGCTGATTGTCGTCTTTTTCTGTCATATAAATTGAGGCGCTTTGTTGCAAATAGATCTTGCATTCCAGATTGTAAGTGGAAGTTTACACTTTCTAGTGACGGGCATGCATTGTTCAGTTACAGGTGCGGTGGTCATGTGAGTTGTGGTAGAGTCAATGTCTGTGTTGACTTTCCTTTTCTTTATTCCTGGATCAGCTCGTTTGCCTTAGTGTTGGTAGTCTGGATTGTATCCTACAAGCTCTGATGTTATTCTAAACTGGGATTAAATGTGGTCCATTGATGATTTTTAGTAGTTTACCAATGTTATGTAAAAAACATCTTCTTTATTTATAGTCTCGAGAGAAAAAAAGGCATTCACCAGTGCAGTAATGAACTTGAAGATTAACATATGAATAGAATCACAGTAAAAATCAGCTAAATTGGAAACTTCTGATGTAATATATGAAATTGTTAGATGCTCATAAATTACAGTGGTAAAACAAAGTTATTGGGAACAAAGAATACTTGCAAATTGTCACGAGCACAGCGTGGAAGGTTGTCGGCTAGGCACGCTACCCAATGGAGCATAATATAAATACTAATATTATTATTATTACTATTATTATACGCCATAAATTACTACGTGCCGTATTTTTGCGGTATTTTACGGGGTATTTTCATCCTACCATATTAGGAAATGCGTAAGCATTCTCTAATAATAAAAACAAACATGGCTGTTATCAGGGTTTGACCAGTCTCCACACAAAGAAGTTCGCTGATTTTGTTCTAAACTTTTTAGATTGCCGCATTCCCATGATGTATCCTTGGACGGAAAAAAATGTATAATAATAAGGTTATTACTAAAATACCTCAAAATATGCACTCATGTGAATGCGCGTCGGTCGATACCGCTGTACTTTCTTGGTGCATACTTTGAGGTATTCTCCTAATAACTTCATAGTATTATTGATATCCACAATAACCATAGAGCTGTGAACCTTATATAGAATTTCTACTAATAATAATACATGTCACTATTTTTTTCCCTTGTACCCATGTGTCATTAATACGGATGTTCTTTATTATAAAAGAATATTTTAACTTACAAAAGTGATTAAAAAGTAGATTATTTCACCACAAGCAAATTCATCACTTACCTGATATACACGTTAGTGTTGTGGCATTATAGCTCCATGCAGTATTGTTACAGTTACATATTCCAGAAATGCATTGACCATTCACACACGAAGAATCAGTTGTGCATTCTATGGGAATGATAATGTTTTTATGTAATTGAAACAGATTTTACAGTGTTAGTAAACGTAAAAGGAAAGTCGAAATATCTTATTTCTTGTTGACACACGTTTATTGCGTCAATTGCACCATAGAACATATACACACCTGTACATTTGTTGGCTGCGTCTTTACTCCAACCAGAGTGGCATATACATTGTAGCTCTAAAGCATCACATATTCCATAAGCACATTCAGCATCTCTATCGCATTCTGAATTCAAATAAGAAAATCCATAGCCAGTGATAAAATGCATGCATGCTCAACATTAACTCCTAGCGATATGATGCAAGCCAAAATGACGTCATGACAAAATCGCCAATTGAAGGCTCAATACGAGGCGAAACGAGCACGTGACCATTAATGTCGATCATCAACTAAAACAGATTGAATATGACAGCCTCATTAATTTGATTTCAAACTCAACTAGTATGCATCGCTGTAATTTCTATGCGGACATTATTCTAACTGATGCCAAACATTCTTTCTATATTTGTTTAGATTCACCCTTAATTTACTTTGCAAACAATGTAGCAATAAGATACACACATGTAACTTTGAACTGGCAAAGTTAGTCGTTGCTGAATTGTCGAGCAAAACGAAAACTGGGTCAAAATTATTCTCATAAATTGTCACATTTATAATGTTATTCTTGATGTTCCATCTCCAATATTTGTGGCTATACTTAAAGCGGGGGGGGGGGTCTACTGCGCACGCACGGGAATTGAGTCCCAAGCGACGATAACAACACACGATACAAACGCAAAGGCTCATAGGTAGACGCTTGTTTGTAAACAATGACACGCTATGGCCATATGACGCATGCGCAGGGCAGGTGACGACTCCTTAGCTTTAATGATCCAATCAATTGTTTTAGCCTAAGTTGAAATTCCCTAACATGTTTTTAGAAGTGACATTTAAATGACAGTTGTCATTCTTACCGCAATATGGTTTTGCGGCTATAGCAATTTGGTACTGGACAACCAAGTTGCTCGACGTCCATGAGAAAACATCGCCATCACCATTAACACCACATATCGCCACTTGCTCAATGTCTTCCATTGTCAAAACACTGTCCCATATGTTGAATGATGAAATGTATCCTTGAAATGGATTTGCACTGAAAGTGCCACCAAAAGATAATTGCATTTGTCCGATGACGAGTCTTCCCCCTCCTGGTATGCTATCGGCGGAAATGATGCCAGAATCTTGGAAAACGCCATCTTTATAAACATGCCAGACACCAGTTGCGGATTCCCAGGACATACATACATGATACCATTTGCCTATTATGATTGACGTTGAAATTGACGTTGAAATCGTGGATTTTAGCATAATATATATATTTTGATATGGATACACGTGAAAAAGAATAACGTTCATTTCGTCTGGTAATGCATACGAGAAGAGACTGTATTCATGCCAACTGTAGTACGTCGCCCATACACAAATGGTAAACGCAGACAAGGACGGCATAGACACACTGGCTGTTACGTCACCGTACGTGATTCCATTGAAACCAATATGTTTGTCTACAACGCTATACGCCGTGTCTGAAAGAAATAATACGGTAATGCTCTCAGCTAAGTTAATAAGGTTCACTTGAAATGTGATAACATGTAAATAAAAATGACGGGTATATTATAATAATAACTGTATATCCCGACAGCTGAACAAATAAATGAAGCAATATCTATCTATAAAGCAATGAACTATCGATTTTTATCTCCGATTTTTATTTTTAATAAAATATTTCCCGCCGAAATATAGACACTGAAAGCGTAATAAATACGTCATAGCTGGTAGCGTTGTGCAATAAATCGCTTGAAAATGGAAAAACAATGGCAGCAAGGTTCGACCGGTCTATGGGGGCGCCATCTATTGAAATCCAGTTTTGTATGTTTGTATAGACATTTATAATTGAATATAAATGTAACAAGATATTTCGGAAATGATATATAATTTTATATGTAATTTGTTGCAGAAAGAATGGTTACATGCACACGGTGCACAATTCTTCTCAATTACCCAATACTCACCACACTCGTCCATCATCTCCAAACCAATCTCGTTATAGACATCCGCCACGTCGTCAATCCAAGAGAAAATGTTACCAGTACCAAAACGAGAACACATTGCCATCTTCTCAACAATAGATGCACCGATAACGTGATCATATATATATACACCAGTCAGAGTACCCGCAAATGCTTGATTTACATCAAAACCTCCACCTAAAGTATCTTGTTCCTGACCGGCAATCAGAACCCCGCCTCCACTTATTGTAGCTCCACTTTTAAGACTGTTACCTGAATTTCGGAGCACACCATCCTCGTATACTTGCCATTCGCCGTCATTTGACTTCCATGTGACACATACATGATGCCAGTTCGCGTCTAGGCTTAAATCTACGTTATGAGACATAGACTCTGCCATTCGAATTCGTCCTTGTTTATTCACCGGCGTTATCCAGACGAAGAACTCGTTGGTATTAACTGGTGATGCATAGGAGATTATTGCGTGTTCATTGATACATGTTGTGATGGTCCAGTAGCACATAGACACCTCGTTGATGTCAGGAAATGTGGCGGGGCCTGTAATGTCGACGTACGTATTATAATTGGCGGAAACCTTCTTGTCTTTTAAGCTTGTTTGATACCCACCCACTGCAATCAAATCAATGAAATCAAACAGTTGAAAAGAAAGCCAATAATGGAAGTTCAATTACGGAAAGCAAAAGTGAAAAAAAGAACTTACTCACCCGACTGTAGGAAATAGAAAAACAATACTAATCCACAAAAGCAGCCGTTCATGATGAAATACTAGCAATGCTTGGTACAGTGGTTATCGCTTCTCTTTGTACTGCTCTGTACAAGGACCAAAATATATCAATCGGAATCAAGCTCAGATTTATGGCAATCAGTTACGACGCGTTCTCCTTATCAACACGTACACTCTGTTCTGATCAAACAAACATTGAATTGATATTAGCATTTTTAGTCTTATATTACGTAAGTGGTAATATCAAAAATTGATATATTATATAACTACTCTATGTTCGAGTGTTTTATATTGTCTGCAATCGTGTATGGCCACAGCTTTTTTTTATTTTGTATGGACGTGTGGGATTACATGTAACACACAACATAAGAGATCCGTACATATGTAGCGATTTGTTCCATGATTATTCATTAATGATGGGGGATTATGAGAAAATTTAGTTCAGCCATATCATTGTGTTGGGTTAACTATAGTTTTTCATCCCTAATCGTAATTTGATTGAGTAGTGTCGCATATCGTTCCCGATGAAAATAGACAATGACACATAATAATACTAATCATATGCTAATTATTTGCAGTTTTTAAAAACGGTACTATAGCAAGATAAATGTTACAGTTACCGTAATGGGTTGACAGAGATAGTGGACACTAATTAGTACAAGTGTGAATGATATGCACCATGTTCGTGTAATTAAAAAAACGTATATGTATATGTCATGGGTAATCCCTGTGATTCACTTCATTTGTCACATGACCCTGTGAAAATTGTTGCCATAATGATAGGTGAGTTTTTCAGGGAGTCTAATGTAATAAATGTTACATTAGCTCTAGGGAAAGTTGCTTGAGGAAGCTCCGAACGAGAACGAATTTTTACCGGTGCATAAAGAAGAAGGGAGTCATACTTTCTTGCACTCAATATATCATGTAGTCATATTATTTAATATGTGTGACAATTGAAAACAGAAACGTGATATTGTATTAATTATATGCATTCTTGTCGAAGAATTTCAACCTGTGTAAGCTGATACAGTGTTGATGTTTTCAACAGATGCGGCCTGATGCAGTTTAAAAATAATGATATTTTTTTTAACAACTATGCATTTACGTCGAAACAGAACAATTTTAGACATCATTATGATAAAAAAGCATATCTAATCTAACGAAATAAAATCAACAGGATTTAAAACCAAGAGAGAATCATCCAATTTAATTTTCTTGTACGGTTAAGGTCACACGAACTTGTAAAAGTCGAGAAACGAAAATATATAAGACGTTAAATATGAAAAAAAAATCATTTACAGGTAGCGATGTAAAAAAGGTTAAAGTATCGCTCAACTGTAATGTAGTGGTAAAATCCTACTTGATGTTGAAAACCAAAAAATTGCAATCGACCCCTACCATCAGTTAGTATGCCTCCACACAATGGCGAGTCCATCTTCACGTATAAATTTAGTAACAAATGCACATTTAGAGCACCATTTGTAATGTCTGAAGATGTTTGTGTTCGATCACAATGCTATTTTCATATGACGATGACGATCATTATATAAATATTTGGCAATATTATATGTGACTGAAATTATTGTTTTCATTTACTTCATCTCATTTGATTTCTCTAGACATTTCAGAAAATTCAGTTAGATTTTAGAAAAAAAGATTACTTACTTGATATCTGCTAAAACGACATAAGCATGACTCAACTCACTCATACACTATCCACAGGCTTTACTGTTACGTGTAGTGTATTGGACGTCTACTAGCTGTAAATAAATATAGCTATTATTGTTATATTTAGATTAACAACCCCATTTGCGATTGAATGGTGATGTGTGGACCAAATTTTCATGCTTGATTGAGGTCACTCTCCCTGGAATGGAGGAAGGAAGCAATTTGAATTGCTTGAGGCAAGTCAGCACATTTGCATATGAATAGTTATAATAAAGTATTTTGCGTAATCAACAGACTGGAATCACTAAAATAATTTCTTTTCCCATTTCTAATTCCTCTTTTATTTGCAATTTGGTATTTCAAAAAGATATTTTCTGTCTACAGAAATGTGAACAGTCAATGAGCAGTGTGAGTGTGTTGTTTGGTGATGTGTGAGTGTGTCAGTGAGTGAGGTGAAACCATTGCATTGAAAACACCGTACGACTTAGTCTCTACCTTGCAACTGAAATCGATTTAATGACTCTGCTCATGTTAATTTACGTGTTTATGTATGATGTTTAGGGTTTATGTTGATAAAAAGAATACTGAGTCAGACCCGAAATGCAAATAAGATATAAATGGAAATTTAAGACACCAATAACGTTCAGGTCATTTAATCAAATGATATAGTTTTGGAAATTACATAAGTTCACATTAAGATAACCATCATGCCATATTTGTAGCAGGTTTGAGCAGCGATGACAAGAAATATGAATAGACCTAATACGAGGGTTTACAAATATAAGAGACTGGAACACTAGGATCAATTCATGTATCACCTCTGTCACTTTACATTACATCCATACACTCAAATCAGATTCGCAACGATCTTAGAATGGCGTCATATTTCAATTTATACGTGTTGAAAGAAAGTGTTACTGTGATATTAAATTTAATATGATTTGACTAACAGTCTCTTTCAATCAACTCGTTGAGTACTAAGCAACACAAAACACTTTTTTAAAACTGTAGGCCTTTATATTCAAAACAAATGCTTGTCGTTTGCGTTTCGTTTTCAATAGGAAACGGTGTCTGCGTTTGCTTTTGCATGGTTAAACATCACGTATACAATCTATGACATTGGAATGTTTGGAAGTCGTACTTACAGTGGTATTCATGGGTGTGTATCTGTTACCATTATCCAATGTCGTCCTGCAACTTAACTATTCGATTCTGGCAACTAAAATAATTATGCGTGGACGGCGACTGAAACGCGTGCACGGTAAGGTTTTCTGTGGTTTACATTCTTTATTACCAACTGTTCGCTGGTAACTTTAAGTAATACACTAATAATTACTATCGATGTTTCCCATCATATGTAGTAAAGTGCAAATACGGTGATTTTCTTTAACAGCACTGACGAGTTGGTCCGCCTGCATTTTATTTAACATGTCTATCTCATTATTTGTGGGAATTTATTACACTGCTACTTCAGTTTCTGTTTTCCATGGCAACAAGATCTACATCTAATCATTGTATCGATCTCTTCTGAAGAATAAAAATAATAATAATAATAATAAACCCAAATTTGTTGTTCCCATGGTGCAAACTATCGTAAAAATGCACCGAATACCACGTTATATTCATTTATAGGAACAGGCGACAAAAAAACACTGCCGTCTGAAATAGATCGATCGTAAACCCAGAAATTTTGTCGACCTTCAAAATGCTAATTGGTATTTGTATTTCTTAGTAATTCTGTAAGTTGAGACGATTTTACATATATCAACCTTGCCGCTAACAACAAACTATTCAAACAAACCTCACAGGGCTAAAATGCGTTTGTGAATTTGCTCTATCGCTGATGTATCCATCTATAATCATGTATCACATTTGTGTTCCAACGGTATTTCCATGTCTCAGAATTACACTTAAATGAAGTTGCACACTCCACTCTATATACAGTACACATATGTCGTGAATTGTACAATGTCTCGTGCTAAATGAAATAGATCGATCGTAAACCCAGAAATGTTGTCGACCTTCAAAATGCTAATTGGTATTTGTATTTCTTAGTTATTCTGTAAGTTGAGACGATTTTACATATATCAACGTTGCCGCCAACAACAAACTATTCAAACAAACCTCACAGGGCTAAAATGCGTTTGTGAATTTGCTCTATCGCTGATGTATCCATCTATAATCATGTATCACATTTGTGTTCCAACGGTATTTCCATGTCTCGGAATTACACTTAAATGAAGTTGCACACTCCACTCTATATACAGTACACATATGTCGTGAATTGTACAATGTCTCGTGCTAAATCCGCTTGCAGTACTTCAATATTTAAGCTGATGATCGCATGATGTGTGGCAACATGGTTAGCGTGTCCACCCATCATGATTGAAATCGACAGGAGAACCAGTATTAAACCTGATGGTTTTTCAACATGTTGAAAATTGTGTGTAAGGCATCATATCTGTTTAAACTTATCGTTCACTTGTATGAGTTACAACCTGGAACCAATTTAATTATACTATGAAATAAATAATACTTAAAAGATGTAACTCACATTTAATCATGAAATATGCACATGCTACACAGTTTCGTTATCGAATATTAATAGATTGCTAATAATTAAACCGTGTGTAATTGTAGGCACACACAGGGATGCTGTCAAAACAAAAATATAACTTGAAAATATTTATTTTGCTTCATAATTTCGATTATTTCACATTTTTGAGCGTTCATGAATACATAATTCATACAGGAAGAGGGAATGGAAATTGCTTTAGCTAAGTCTAGACATATGTATTCAATATGATTTGTCATGAGAGCGAAGTTAGCAATTTGCATATTTAACATTAATATGGGTCTAGTGTTCTGAAAACATTTATTTTTAGTTAGGTATTCCTCAAAGGTCTTGAAATTACGGTTTGCTCTGTGGGAAAACGATACGCAGTTAGTGTGAAAACACTTATTGCCTTATAATCGAATTGACACAGCAGGGGAAACTTTATACGAGTAAATACGTGATCTTCCATTATGGAAATATATTTCGGACTCGTATTACGTGTAGGTGTAAATATTTCATTGGTGAAGAAAAGTGAAATTGAGTGAAAAGTGAAAGTGAAATAATTGAAGTACAACAAATAATTGCCGTTGCAACTTAACTATTTGTATTCCGAAGTTTCGAATTGTTTGAACATATGGTGTCTCATTGTGCATAAACTACAAGTTGCGATAAACAAACAATACCACGGAGAAAAGACAGTAAAACGAAATTCAAGTGTCAGATCATTTGGTTGGGAAGTTTGTGAAATTAAAGTAGATTGGAAGTATGAGCTGAATGTATGCGATTGATTGTTATATGCAGTAGATC